GCCTGATTGTATATAGATTATAGATATAACTGAGTTTTTATGTTTTTGATTTACTTATCTTTGGGTTATTTTATTTTTTATTGTACATAGTTTTTGATTATTATTTTAATTTTGTTAATTTTATGCTGTCTATATATATGGTGTGAATGTGTTTATATCTCACTATAATTATTGTACACGTGACAGATTATTATATTTATAAATAAATTTAAAAAAAATTTTATTATACTTTTTTAATCTAATGCTTCGTTTAAGCATTTTTATTGGGATTTATATATATCTGATAGCTATCGATGCTGAATGAATCGATATTGTTAAGATATCGGTACGATGAATATCTATATATTTTGTTCAATATATATATCCAACATCAAGCAACATTTTGCTATATTGGAGACTCGTACCTACGCTATACTTTGCCATATTTTACTAACTATAGAAATCTGTCTGTATGTATTATTCATTTTCCACTTTTTATTAGTATATTACTTTTCGTAAAATTGATTTTATTTGAAAATTAAATGAAGTGGTGATTTCGATATTCAATTATTTGTGAACATTTTCAATTATTATTGCTCTTGGCGGATGGTACAATCAGAATCTTTGTTTTCGCGGATGTTTCCCGATAGTTATTATCAGTAAGTTGGCTCGTTATCAGAAAATCTGCGTTTTATCGCTGGTTTCTCCCCTCCCTTGGAAATTTCGGAATTTCCATCTTTCTGTGATTCACAGAGAATGTAATATAAATTTGTTTTATTCGATTTTTGAATTAGTTTAGTTTAAATTTACAACGTTAAAATCTGAATTTATTTTGAGATATTTATAAACGGTTTAATCTTAAAAAAAATCAAATATAATTCGATTATTCACACCCTTCGTCCTAGATCTAAGTTACTGTTTAGTAAAAATCGACCAAATGTGGGAGCTACATAATGAAAAATAATTTAAACTATTTTACTTCGAAATCTACCTGCTACGATATATGTCCTGACTTTCTGAAATGTTTACATCTGTTTCCATTTGCATTTAATTGTAGGACGTGGCCTATCAATTCCGGATTAATTCAATTATGACCGTAATTGAATAAAATATTGAACTAATTGAGCAGATTTGAATAAAGTGATGCATGTTCTCACTAACTCCCGAATCAACAAGTGATATCTCATGTTATATCCATATCGATGTTACCCGATCGATTACTTTTCGCCGAATTAGTCCAATTTGAGAAACAATTCATGAATTATTCTTGCCATTTCTATACATTATGAACTTCAATCCTCATAATAGTGTTATTGATTTGTTTGACTGGTCCATAGTGCAACTATTGCGGCGTTCAGTATATAAATATATAAACATGACTGGTTTTAATTTATAGATTATACAACTAAAAAATTCTTGAAAATTATAAAATGTAGAGGAAACGCAAAAGAGATATCTTGATTTCAGCAATACAATTTTTGGTCTGATTTAGATTTCAACAGTGAAATTTTTAACTTGACTTTAAAATATTTCTTTTAATCTTAAATAATTGTTTCTGGCTTCTCTATTAATTTTTTTTCATAAAAGATATGTTATACTAAAAACTAAATTTCTTTAAGGAAAGAGATGGTCCGGGGTAGCGGTCATAAATAGACTGAATAGTGGCAAAACTATTTTATTAAAAGCAACGTTTCCACCCGGCTTTACAGTTCTTCTTCAGGGCTAGAACAGACAAGATACAAAAGGATATAGAGAATTGTGAACGTCACATCATAGAAATTATAAACAATGTGGATAAACTTATTAAAATTATAAACAGCAGGTACAATATGTCGTATAAACAGAGTAAGTTAAATAACAAGATCCTAAACTGAAATTTTATGTTTCAAATTCTTTCATATTTTATGTTCAACAATTTTTATATCAAAGATGAATGTGAAATGGTTAATTATTTCAAATTAAAAAAATAAAGTTACTAATATTGAAAATTAGCCATTTAAGCTCTGATAGAGAACATTAATTAAAATAAAACCTACATTATACTAAAAAGTGCTTAATAATACACTGATATACTGAGTTTAATCAAGCATAGAGCCGTTTTTGAGAAAATAGTAAAAATGTTTTTCATCGATAAAGTACTTCACATACCACTTAGCCCATTTTGACGAATAAGTTGTAACATCTCAAGTATATACAAACCTTAACTATGTAATTTTACTTTCATAGGACTTTTCGTTTTTGAGTTAGACCTGTCACATACATATAGACCATTTTACGGTAATTGGTTATTTGGACTCCGGGGACTTCAAAACATTTATTTCCGTTGAAAATTCAGATTCGAAATTTTTCACGATGGCAATACTCTCCTTTACTATATATTTCATATATAGTAAAGGAGTGAAAATAACATGGATAAGTGAAAGTAAAACAATAATTCAAGTTAAATGTTCACTTTTTTTCCATTCATAACTTACATTTTATATTCATGAATGAGCAACAAGTGTCAATATGAAACACCTAATAGGTGACCGTTCTTAAAAGAAATTGCAGATGGTAATATCGAGTTCCTCCGAGGAACACCTTGGGTGTCTTTAGGAGTAACTCTTTTTATTTTGCTGATATTTACAACTGTATTACAAATAAGAATACATTCAGTTAATAGGAACAAAAGAATATAACATGAAACCACTTGTTGAGAAACTACCCACTGGTAGCGCTTTAATAGTGTATTTACAAAAGGAGATCTCGAGGCCATCTTCTTTTCAGACGCCTCGGAGGCTTGTCAGGGATCGAAAAGGAAGCAAGCTTAGAAACGAGAGGGTTGGGATGATTATGAAGTTTATTATGGAAGGATAGGTATCTGGATTGGGCCAGGTCAGAAACATTATGGTCGTTATGGATGATTTTATTTGTAACAAAGTAAGGAGCAGTGAGGATTTTACGAAGGATTTTGAATTGTAAGGATTGAATAACAGAGGAATTCGATGGCTTAAAGCCCCAAAGCTCAACTCCGTAAGTCCAAATAGGTCTTATTGTAGTCATGTATATGAGTCTTTTGTAATTGACTGGGAGCTTAGATCGTTTATCTGGTAAGTGCTGGAGTAAGGACTAAATTTTTAAAAATCTTCCAAATAGTCTCGGAGATAAGCCTCGTGAGGCTGTTTTAAGGCGTTTTTTAAATTTTATTCTGTGTGCAAAATCTTCTATAATTTTTTTGTAATTTAAACATTTTTCGACGTGCCCATTGTTTCATGCCCACATATACATTTACCTACCTATGTATTGGTAGGTGAACCTCCTCGATCGGCCACGAGCAGCCACTCGCCGAACAGACGTCGATAGAAGGCGAAGAACCGACGGCACACGACGGCGTAGAATCGCCCCTGGCCCCGATGTGGCCGCGGTGGACATGGACACAAAGGCGCCATTGTCAGTCTCTTACACTTTAGTCTTCATTCACCTCCTCATCCTCCCATTTCATGCATAATTACTGCTTCCATCTTGTTTATGGCCGGTTAGCTGCGATCCGTCTTAGCAGCACTACTATTTACTTTATTTAAAATTGATTTTTTTTTCTTTTTTGGCTTTAAGACTTCTAAAAGCAAGTCCTATTTTGCCAGTAAAATATTTTAAATTTCATATTAAGATGAAGTTGCACTGGATATATATTAATTATTTACATAATCTATGGAAAAAAAAACAGAACTTTTTCGATTGAGTCTCAAGAAACCTGTATATCATGCAGTCAATTTATCTACAATAGTCTACTTCACAGCCCAGCATACAATGACTATAGACAAAAATTCCTTCAAAATTTCATCTCAGAATCTTCTGATAACCACAACATCGAAACCATACTGAATATCGATTGTATAGATAAGTTAAATAAAATTTACTATTATATGATGGGAGTACACAAAGTACATACACAAAATTGTTGATCATAGCCCATGTTCTATTAAGTGTTTGTTTTTAGGTTATCTTAAAAGTAATATTTTGTTTATATATATATAAATATTTTTATTTTTTATTGTTTCTATCGTAGTAACAGGTTCATATAACTGTTATTATGCAGTAATCGTTTTATGTTTTTAATTTTTATTGTTATTCATGTTTTGTGAAACCCATTCTAAACATAATTTTTTGTAAATTTTATTTATATTTAAATGATATGTATGTAAAACCATTCGACACTATTTTTCCCTTTTCGTCTCTCTAACACGGCGTCGCGTTAAGATATAATTTTGAATCATAGCTTATTATAAAGAGGATGAAATGATAAACATTTCCCTCTCTAATTTCCCTCGTTTCCCTCGCAGGCCCGATTTTTAGTTTCTGGGATATTTTAATCCATATGCAAAAATACTTCAATTAATCGAATACAGCAGACTTTACCCGAGCGTTACACGTCTGAAATCTGATGGCTTAATCTAATTCATTCTCCACGAAAAAGTACAAAACGCGCCTAAAGAAGTTACTTACATCACTTTCAACGAAATCAGCTTGTAAGACTCATTAGGTTTGAATACATTTGATTCTTGATAGTTTATTAATAATCGACTGCCATAGATATGTTGAAGAGAAGTTGGTTGGGGTTTTCAGTCAAAACGATAAAAAAGGTAAAATAAATAAATTAGATTTATTTTTGCAGACGTTTCGGCCCTTTGTTTGACTGGACACCCAGCCGATTTCGATTCAATAATTTTATTCTTAGTTGGGAATCTATTTGATTCACCGATAACTAAACTACAATCTTTTTTTTTTCTAATGGATAATACTCTACCTACCATTTCTGGTATATGGGGAGGGGATTGTTCCAGAGCTACAACCAAACCTATTATAACCAGAGTGGAAGGATCGAGTTTCATTCTGTGGGTCCGCCACGAAATAAAAATCAACCACTCCCAGAACGGATTCGAACCTAGCCACGACGATGTTAGACCGGGCAACGCTGCAACACTCTCGACCACCCCGACCCCCATACAAAACTACAGTCTGAGTGATCGGAAGCGAATTATCTTATGACATCGCAAAACCTTTTCAACTACCCACTAATCGCCATGCTGAAAGCAAGCCGTCCACGCTTCCATTTCAGTCAAAGGCGTCCCCTCGTTGACTTTTGGAAGATCCGGTTGACCTGGGTGAACCCCCCAGGATCGGTATTGGAGAATAAACAGGCCGCGAGGCCCAGGTGTGACTTGTTTATTCATAACCTGGTACAAAAGTCACGCTTGTAAACAGCGATGAGCTACTAAAGAATAATTGTCGCCGCATTTTAATTCTGAGCAGCAACGTGTCAACAGCTCACGCTCACCGGATACACCTCTTCCAATTCTTCTTATGTAATTACCCATTCTTCATCATCAACATCATCATCTTCGCCTAGTTCCTACCATAAGGTTCGCGACTCGCAATCAACCGGGCTTAATCGCAACCTCAACGGTGTCTGTAAGTCCAATCCAGTATATTAGAAGTATATCAATTATATTATAATTATTGTTTATCTCTTTCCATCTATAAATAGAAAACTTATATCCAGATTTAATAAGATAATATAGATTTAATTTAAGAATTATTTTATGTATAGCAAAAATCAAATGATTGCTAATTTGCAATTAATTATAGTAGTAAAAATAACGTTTGCGCGTGGTTATGGGGAAGTACTGGATAGAATTTGAATCGGATGAACGGTACTAGGTGAAATGCCCGTCACATCAATTTGACTACAGACAGACAGACAGACACTGAACCAAATTTGATCCTTGATGTTTGAAACGTAAAACGCGAGTGGAAATTTTTGATTGAGCACAAAACATTTTTTAACATATCGCACGAGCACAAAGCTTCCCTACCTTCGGTAATGCGGAAGCAAAAAAATTAAAAAGCAATTTTTTATTTTTGTTAAGAATAACTATTGTTTATTTTAAAACTCGCATTTTACTATAATAATTGTTGAGTGATAAAATATAAGCAAAATAAAACTATTATTTTTGAGAATTTTTTTTTCTAATATTTATTATTCTGTTTAAAATTTGAACCTCTCGTAGTAAATTTAGAAAAGTTTTATTATTTTAAACATTAAAAAAATCTATTGAAAAACTTGCTATTTAACAATTTTTTATTTTATACGATATGCTTTTGAGTAATTGGTAAGATATAATATATCATTAATGTAAACGCTTATACTTTTCCTACCTGTTTCGTCTTCAATCCCTAGATATTGTTTCAAAATATGATACACCATATTGATAGTGATATATTGATTACTTCTATTCAAACAAATTTTACTTTATCTTTTATTCCCATATTCCTGGGGTTTATTTGAAGCATATGGTGCGTGCATCACATGAATTTCACTTACCTCCCTCTTCTTAGCAGAAATAAGTATTTTCAGACAAAGGGAAAGTGAAAGTAAAAATTATATGCGCTATTTTTATTTACATTTCATTATGGGTATTTTATTTGTTTAAATACTTTCATTTGTTTTTTATTTAATTGTTTTTATTTATGGTATTTATTTCTTTTTATACATTTTGGTTAAATGCCTTATATAGGCATTTTAATTTTAATGTTTATATCACTGTATTCTATACTATTAAATAATACAAACGATAGCATTTATGAAAACCGCACATGTATATGTTCTTAATATTGTTGGAGTCCGTATTTGTGTATGTAATCTCTCGGGTGAGCTCGTATTCCTTTAGTTCATCCATTACAAGTATATCATAGATTAATGTGAAATGATTAATTATTTCAAATAAGAAAAATTAAAGGTACTTTAGAGGAAACTAATATTGAAAATTAACTATGTAAGCCCTGTTAGAGAACATCAATGAGAATAAAACCTACACTATATTAAAAACTGCTTAATCATACACTGATATTCTGAGTTTAATCAAAATTGTTAGAGCAAGTTTTGAGAAAATTGTAAAAATATGTTGAATCGATTATATGAAGTACCACTTCCGGTTTGCCGATTTTGATGAAAATGTTTCTGGCACATCTAAGTATACCTATCTTAAATATGTAATACCAGTTTCGTACGACTTTTCGTTTTTGAGCTAGACTGCTAACATACACACACAGACCATTTTGCGGGACTTGGTTATTTGGACTCAGGGGACCTCAAAACATGTATTCCCGTTGAAAAACTCTCACGATCGCAATACTTACCCTTACTATATATTACATAGGTAAGTGAAAGTAAAAATCAGTGATGAACTTTTCCTCTATGAAATCAGACCACTATATACTTAGCACATTTGAATACATAAAAATAATTTGAATACATTTGATACGTAAACGTTTTTGTGTCATTTGGATTCTCTTTTTATGTTTTTGCATCAATAAAGGTCGAAATTCACTAAAATGTACTTATAAGTACTGCTCCATCAGAAACATAATTTATGAATTTTTTTATATTATCTTAATTTATCTGAGTTTATGTGGCAAAATGAGAGAGTAAAAAATAACTTGAATATGATAACTGAAACAAAGATATTAAAGATGCATAAATATCACATGCATATTTAAGTTTTATTTATTTTTTTTTATTTCTTAATGGTATTTACAACTGTATTAAAGAGATAAATCTAGTAAATTTGAACATATAATGACATGAAAACACTTGCTGAGTAAATACCCAATGGTAGCACTCTAATAATATGTCTACATTAGGAGATCACGGGTCCATCTTCTTCTCAGACGCCTCGGAGGGTTATCGGGAACTGAATAGGAGGCAAGGTTAGAAACGAGAGGGTTTAGATGGATCTGAAGTTTATTATGGAAGGATAGGTATCTGGATTGGGCCAAATCTGAAACATAAGGAACATTAAGGTCAAGTTTTGTTTGAAATCATAGACGATTTTTATATTTTTAGATGAAAAATATAATCCCTGCAAAATATATTTTTTATAAATTCTTATAAATATAATAAATAAAAAATTGTCTATTACATAATCTAAATAGAAATAAGGAAAATTGAGCGTTAGATGGAAATAGTATGAAGAAACCTGGATGAATTATATTAGCTGAAGTTTCACCAGTGGCTAGTGTTAATGAGGCCAGCAACTTACTAAACATGCTCTAGGCTCTTTACGTAAAGTTTTTTTATTACCGCACTTTTTTCCATTTTACCATTTTTTATATTATTTAACCTATACTATTTTTTTATTTTTAAAGCAGATACCCGTTAAAATTGTTATTTTTACCCAGATTTTTCATTAAATAATAAAGTATTTTATTATACATTATTAACGTTATTTTTCTGTGACAAAACTACTTAGTTCGCGCCTCTTGTCCCGAAACTTAAAAATTATAATCTATAAAACAATTATCTTGCCTACAATTCTTTATTTACAGTTACACAACGCCGAATTGCGTGAACTATATCCGAGTAATATAATTGAGATAATTTCATCGCGGCGAATGAAATGGGCTTGTAAAGTTGTTGGGCTTAGTAACGAGAGAATTCCTAAAAGGTTAATATTTGCTGTGCCGAATGGTAAGCGTCCGTGGCACAGGCGGATCTACGGGGGGGAGGGGCTTTCGGACTGAAGCCCCTCCCCCCCAAAATTGTAAAATATAACCATGTTTTATCGAAAAAAATATTAAAAAAGTATCTCTTAAAGTATTATTGTTCGTGTAATTACATTTAAAAGGGCTTTAGGGATCACTTAAACACCGTTTCATATAGGTAGTTAGTTTCTTTCTTTTTTTCCAAAGTAATTATCGTCATTTTTATGAAAAAACAACTTTCGGGCTTAAGCCCCCTCCCCCCCGAAAAATAAATCCTGGATCCGCTAGTGGTCCGTGGGGTAGACCGAAGCGAAGGTGGGAAGATTGCATTAAAGCCGATCTGAAGGGAATAGGTTTGGACGGCGAACGGTGGAGGGAGGTGTGTAATAAGCGATTGGTGGTGTCGGCATCGAACCTTCGGGTTCGCTAAGCCTTTTTATTATTATTATTATTATTATTATTATACATTTAGACAACTTGAAATCATTTATTTTTAATATTAGCAGCTGATTAGGCTCAACTGCTGAATTCTGCATTGTAGATTCAAGATTTTCATGCTCAGTGTATTGTAATATTTAAAAAATATAATATGCAAAAAAACAAGACCCTAGGTATAACTAAAATTTTGTTGTAATATACTATAGCCATCGTCGTACTTCTGTTATTTGCCGTTGTGATCAAACATCTTCCCATTAATAATGATTAGATAATGGTTAACCATATTTCTGATTTATGGAGAAGTTAGCTAAGTGTTGCGGTTAAAATTACTATATTATATTTATATATAAAGTTAAATTATATTTATCGCCAACTAACGTTTCAGCCTCTTTTTTTAGCCGTTTCTAACTTACTTATACTTAAATCGCTTGCTATTTGCAATTAAGATTTACTAAAACCTTTTTTATTTTATTTTTTTATTAATTGCTATTTATAACTGTATTATAAAATAAATACAACTAGTAAATGTGCACTCAGGAGTATGACATGAAATCTCTTGTTAAGAAACTACTCACTGATAGCATTCAAGTATTACTAAATCATAAATCTATTAAAGATTTAATAAAATAATAACCAATTCTTTACATATAGTAACTAAAATTGTCAAGCATTAGTAACTATTTTTCCTTAATTTGTATGCAAAAAATCGATTTTTTTACCAGTCTTTTGGCAGATTTTGGGCAACACTAACTGAGGGACACATAGTTCACCGAATAGTGAATGTTATATATTTTCGTTTTGCCATGTTTCAATGTCACTTTCCAGAGTGAGAATCTTTTTTTGTAAATAATGGTAAATTTGTAAGTTACGTTATAAAGTCAGTAGAACTACTTACGTAGTTATTAGTGAAGCTAACTACTGGTGTTTAATGTTGAAGTTTTTATATTCATATATTTATAATCTAGTGTTGCAAAATATGTTTTAGAAGCATTTTCGCTGAAAATAAAACATATCATCTTTCTCCATAGAGTACCCCTAGAGGCTCTCAGAATCAACTGTGCTGAAATTGAATATTTTGGATAATTTTATAGACATGAAAATACAGCGTAAGTGGGGAGTAAATTTCAATATAAATTTCTTTATATCCAAAAGGATTCTTTGAGTACTTCACAATTTAAGTTCAATCGTTGAAACAGCCATTCATAGTTAAAATTCATATATAAAATTATTTGGTGTTATAAAAGAGTCTTTTAGGGGTTCCAAAATTTGTCTCTCGTCCCGCCATGTTTTGAGAAATTATACGTCGATTTTTAATGTTTTTCGCACCTCCATTATCCCTTCGAATTTACTTAGAGTGTTGTTCCATCTATGTTTAACAAAAATGAGAGTGGATTACGACTCTAATGGCCAAGTCCTGCTCACTGTTTTTGTTCTGTCGTTGATTAATAATGTCTTAGCTTTATTATAACACTGAATTCAGAATTTCAAAAGGATCTGATTTATTTAATATACCATAGAGACGTATTAGTTTTGAAAAATACTAGATAATAATTTTTGTCAGATAGTTTTTTTTTTTTTTTGCACTTTTATTTATTTATCCACACCTGTCAATTACAAGTATCGACAATCAGCAGATGTGCTGGCAAAGGTATGAGAAAGAGAAAGAGAATCACTTTATTATCATAAAAGAGTGCTGTCCAATTACATTGGGTTGCTTTAAACACAGCATACTTATTAATCGCTACAGACGATTTTCCAAAACTAATATACAATTATATAGTATTAACAATATGTACGAGCATAGTATACAATTTTTTTTATATATAATTTTTTTGTATTATAATTTTTTCCCTATATTTTTATTTGTTTTATTAATAAAATATAAAATAAAAAGACTTGATACACATGAAGAATAGCAATACCCAGCGGTAATCCTTCCATGGCTTTTATGTACTAAAACATTATTTAAGTAAATCCAGACCGTTTTCAGTCGTCTTCTGGAGTTCTAAGGCATACTAGTTGTGGCCATTTCTTTTACCAGCTGGTTGAAGAGTCCATTTAACATATCGTGAAATCGTTTTAAGTATGTTCGTATGTGTTCATTGAGTGTAAGTCTGTGTGTAAAGTGTGGTTGTACCCGTAAGTCGTAGTATCTTAGACTGAAAAGTTTGAATTTTTTTTACGTGAGTTAGTTTTGCAATTCCGTATATTTGTAGTCCGTAATTCCTAAGAGGTTTTAATAAATATTTAGTTTCTGTCTTGCTTTTAATTTGGAATGTCGTCTTAACAGTGAATGTAACAATTTTAGTCTTAGATTTAATGTGATTAGTTTTTTCTTCACATGTGGACCCCATGTCATTCTCCTATCCAATAATAAGGCCTAGCTATTGTACTCTGTCTGTTTGTGAAATCGGTATGTTGTCTAAGTATACAGGAGGGCATGTTTCTGGTCTTAGAGTAAATGTGATGTGTTTTGACTTTTGATAATTTATTTGAGTTTTCCAAAGTTTACACCAATCGAGTATTATTTTTAAGTGTCAGATAATCTTAATCTAAAATCTAACTTTTGGAGAAGTCTTTACTTGGGTTTTGACCGCTTCATGTATTGTCGTGTTGCAACAATAAGCTTCCTGGGCTTCACTTAACTTTCACCAATTACATGTTCGTTGTCCAGGAACAGCCCAAAGTGTTGAAGAGTACCCAATCCTCAGGAATCCGCTTCAGCTGACCACTTCCCCAAATCCCGGATATCACTCCGCTTAGCGCACCTCCTCCACGAACTGATGAGGACGATAATGAGCCGCTGATCGTGGGATCGAGCCTGGACAGCTTTGCGGTGATGGGCAGCTAAGTGGCTCTCTCTGGCGATCACTACGGTCTTCGCGATAATTACCTCTGCCTTCGTCCAATCTCTTACCTTCGCGAGTCCGTTCTCTCCCGAAATGGATATACCCGACCTCAGTTCACGGAGGGGAGTTGTTGCCAGTTCGATGAAGAGTGCTAATGGGTAAAAGTTGTCTGAAGAGGAGGAGGCGTATATTTGGCGATTTGGAAAATATTCGAGGTAACAGCTCTAAATAATTTTAAATGAAAATGTATCGATTATTCTACTAAAAAAAAATTATCAAAAAATGATAAAAAGTTGAATATTATTTTTTTTAAGCTGTGCCCTTCTCTTTTTCTCACCAAAGGGTCAATTTTTATTAATTTTAGATTATACATCAATTTATATCATAACAAAAGAGTCAATCATAAAATAAAAGAAATAAAGCATTTTAAACAGTTTTGGTTTATTATTTTCCATAATGAACCATTGTGATCGAAAAAAAAAATCAAAAACTTAACCCCCTCTCAAAATTTGAGGTGTTACATTTCAGGATGCGTAGAATTCGAAAAAAACGAATAAAAACTTTTTGTCCGTCCGCCGTTGGCGCATTTTCTCCGAAATTACTCGAACCTATTTTTTTCAATTATGTATTTAAAATCAGAGGTCACCCGAGGATGATCCTCCTTCATCGACATTACTATATACTTTCAAAATGGCGGCCGAAAAACCTCCGTTACTATAGACTGTAGCAGCTAAACAAATGTACCGATTTCAATGAAACTTGGCTAAATTCGTTTCTTAATGCCCTTTAAATTTATCTATATAACATACTTTAACGAAAAGAAGCTGGAAAAAAAATACGAGAGATGGTAAAATTAAATTCCGAATAACTCAAAAAGTATACATTTTTTTGTTAATATTGTATGTTTTTTAAGTTCACGAAATTTCCTTAAAAAAATAAAATCGGACAATTAGAAGCAAAAATATGATCTATAGATGTTTTTTATGTTCTACTGCAAATTCTTTGTTTTGGATTTTGATTTTTGAATGTGTTACTAAAATAATGCTATTTTTTATTATATCAAATTACTAATAATGAAAACAAATGTTAAGGCAAACAATTAGAGTTAATTTTTTATTCGCTTTTAATTTGTTACTTGGAAGATAATGTTACTTTAGATGCACGAGTATAATTGTTTGGAAATAATAAACTATTGTGAAATAATTTGAAGCGTTTTTTATTTGATGTGAACAACTTTTCGATGATTGAATAAATGATTTAAAACATTTTTTCACCTTTTCTCGCCTCTACCCTGAAGCAATCTTTAAAAATCGTACTTCTTTCAGCTTATACTCTTTGGCCCTCCACTCTTTTTCCCAGAGTTAAACATTTATTTTGAATTGTATTTAAAAATATAAAATAATTACCTTCTTGAAATGATATAATATTTCTTAGAATTAACGAATAATCTATCATAGATTAGAGTAATATAGCCGTCAATGTAGTCACTGCCTCTTAGATCTGAGCTGCACACACACACATGGTGGGGATCCCCTTAGACCCGACGCCTAAGATCTCCATCAATCCGTCCAGACCGGCGGACGCGTACTCCAGTTCCAGTCTAGTGTTTGTGTAAATGGCGAGTTGGGTCAGTCCAATTAGTGAAGATGGTCATCTTCTGTAGCCGTGCATCGCCTTTATCTTATCCCTATTACTGGAATTAGCTGAGTATCCTCCGGATCTTCGTTCTCGACTACTGGAGGAAGAGGATTCGATTCTAAACCACGTTTCAGTCAGGAACCATCTGGTAGAATATCTCAGGATCTGGACGGGTAGTGGAGTACTTTAATAATAATTATAACTAGTAGGCCCGTGCGAAAAATTCTCACTGCATATAGTTATCAAATGCCAAATTAATTAGAAAATAAAATAATGCAACGTATCAAAAGATAAAGAAATAAATTGTTATTTTATCAATAATTATAATCGACAAATAAAACAAAAATTAGTTTAAATCTTCATTTTTGTTTGGAACCAACATGTTTACAAATTTCAGTAAGCTGTATCTTTGCTAAAAATTGGTCGATTTCGATGATTTAATTATTTATATCAATAAGTTGATTATTTTATTATTATTTATTTGTTTAAAGGAAATATCTCAATAAAGGACATTTTTAATTGAATTCTGAGAGCACATTCACACCATATTTACAAATTAAAAAAACAAAAAAAAATAAGCTAACTTCAAATAATATAAAGCTACAAAAGAACAAAATAAAATATCATAGTGAAGAAAGAAAATATAAATAACAGTAATAATAGAATATGAATAAAATAGAATTAAAATTATCTTAAAAAAAAATTAAAAAAAAAAGTAATGAAAATAAACATCTTAGATGTAGGCATACCTATTTACACTATTTACAGTCGGCCATGGGAACTCCGCACCATACTTATCCCTCCACATGTGGAGGGAAAGCGAGGCTTCAGGAGATCCCTGCGCTTCTTCCTCAACCATAAGTTGATTATTAAAGTTAAGAATATGTGTCTTCTTAGCGTTAATTTGTAATCACTACAAGATTGACTTTAGTCCCTGTGCCTTTTACACTTTTCCAAATTTTTGGAACTATAGAAAAAATATTTTATTTCACGAGAAACAAATACATGCTGAAAAAGTGAAATTAATTTACAAATAAAAATACGCACAATGAACCTTTGTCTGAAAATACTTATTTCTGTTAACGAGAAGATGGTAAGTGAAAGTTGTATGATGCCCGCACCGCAACAGATTTTTTTTATTTGTAAGTACATCGTATTGTGAGATAAAACAAGTATTCAACAACTTTAAATTCTAAATGATAACAGGTCTGTATATGAGTTTATTTTTGTATGTTATTTTTTGAGGTGGAAAATAAAACTTAACGAAGTATTTGTGGAGATAATCTGAGGATTAGAACCATTTGATCCCGATGAATCAGTCAGGCCTACCCGACTTAGGAGCCATTGAATTAATATTACAAGATAGCGAGGCAGCTGAGCGGGCCCAAAACAGGCTGTGTGATCTGTCGTCGAGTCCATATCTGTCTCCCTCAACATCATCACGGCTCCCTCAACATCATCACGGCTCCCTCAACATCATCACGGCTCTGAATCCCTAATCAACTCGGAGATAACACACCCTAATGTATTGGCTCTGCATCGCTCGTAATGCTCCGGCACTAGTTTTGGGTCGTTTGATTTGGGTCTCACTACTTCCAATTGGGCTGAAAGCTGGCATAAACATGTTCGCCACGATTCGATGCTTGCAGTAACATAGCTGGATCTAATCGTATGTTAGTTCATTAATTATCTCTGTTATCGCTGTTTTATGATGTCATTCATCTATAGATTTTTTGACAACCGTCAAGTAATGCATAGCGCTGGAATACGTAACGTCTCCAAGTTTTTTACTTTCACTTACTCATATACGAATTATATAGTAAAGGAAAGTATTCCGATTGTGAAAATCTCAGTTTTGAACGGAAATACAAATTTTGAGGTCTCTTGAGCCCGTATAACTATGTCCCACAAAATGTTCTGTATGTACGTGTGTGCGTGTGAATTATTATTTCATTCAGAAAACTTTTAGTATATTAGATGTAGATATTTAATATAACGAAATATTAGCTGCAGTTATAAAAACATTTTTTTTTTTTTTTTATTGATGATATTTACAACTGTATTACAAGTAAAAATACATTCAGTAAATGTGAGCAAAGGAATAAAATAGCATGAAATCACATGTTGAGAAACTACCCATTGGTAGCACTCTAATAATATGTCTATATTAGGAGATCACGGGGCCATCTTCTTTTCAGACGCCTCGGAGGGTTTTCAGGGATCGAAGAGGAAGCAAGGTTAGAAACGAGAGGGTTGGGATGGTTGTGAAGTTTGTTATGGAAGGATAGGTATCTGGATTGGGCCAGGTCAGAAACATAAGGAACATTAAGGTCGTTATGGATGATTTTGTTTGTGACAAAGTAAGGAGCAGTGAGGATTTTACGAAGGATTTTGGATTGTAAGGATTGGATAAGAGAGGAATCCGATGGCTTAGTGGAGCCCCAGAGCTCAACTCCGTAAATCCAAGTAGGTCTTATTTTAGTCATGTATATGCGTCTTTTGTAATTGACTGGAAGCTTAGAGCGTTTGTCTAGTAAGTGCTGGAGTAGTCGGAAACGTCGAGCTGTTTCTTGTCGTTTCAGTCTGGTATAAGGATTCCAAGTTAGACGTTTATCTAACTGGAGTCCAAGGTATCGAATTTGTTCAACAGGGATAAGTGGGGTATTATTAAAGGATACTGTAGGACAAGAGGACATAAGTTTACGACGAAGGGTAAAGGTGATTTGATGGGATTTATTGGAATTTATTTTTCTTTTCCAGTCTTGACACCATTCTTCAAGATTTGTGATGTGGGATTGAAGGGTTTGGGATGCAATTGTTGGGTCGTTATTAACTGATAGGACACATGTATCATCGGCATAACTGGTAATGACTGTGTTAGGATTATAAAAACCTAAACACATAAATTGTAAAGTTTATTTATAAACAGGGCGCAAACCGATTTCTTCACATTTCTAAATATAGTGAGCTGATATCGCAATACTGTACTGGTACTGGTGACATATGCCGACTAAAAAAACATCCTTAAAACTAGTTGATGCACGCTCCTATCTTATTTACCCAGTGCTAGCTCCGTGACTCACTCCTGTTGCATATTTAACACGCAATAAATACATTTCATTATGAACAACATATTTCGCAGGCTTCCAAGCATAAATATATTTAAGTATTGAAATGTTAATTAACTTGAAACGGATTATATTTAAACTATACTGTATATTTAAAAAATGAAATAACCAAACAGTAGGAGCACAGTTCCGCCACTTTGCTGATTGTATCGCTAAGTGGCTTTGGCCAAAACGTCGGCACAAAATGATTTTTTTTATTTGTGTGTTCTCTCTTAATGCAGCTCCTTTTATTTATGGCGTTTACCTAAACATTTTCTTAAAAAGATCGTGTTAAATTTTTTTTAACATGTACATTCCATATATTTTTCTTTTCGTTGTACCTAATCAAATATATATATTACAAGGCATGTAAATATATATTATATGCCTTAAGGTATAGAAAATACTAGATAGAATCGAACAA